GGGCAGCTTCGTCGTCGAGGCTTGGATCAACGACGTCGCCATGGCAGATGCACAACCCGACACGCCGAGTCCCTCGAAATGCGCACGAACGGGCTACCACGCCGACGACGAAATCGCCTTCTTTGACCTCGATAAGACGCCCGTGCGCCCACCACAGATGAGCGCTGCCGCGGGGAGCTCCACGAGGTCGGCGTCTTCATTCCCAGCCGCGCTCGCCAGCAGGCCAGCCTTTTCTGCGCGGCCCTCGAGCGAGACGTCGCACTCGGATGCGGCTCCACGCGCCCGAAGCACCTCACCCACCAAGCGCTTCCTGAAGACAGAGAGCTTGCTCGGCCTCGCTGTACCCATCCAGTTTATCAAGAAGCAGACGCTCGGGGCCGCCATGCCCGATGACGCCCGACCACTTCTCGAGGCGCTGTCCGCTGTCGAGGCTGGAGAGGCGCTGCTGCCGGCGGTTCTGCGGTCGCACCCGGACTTTCAAAACGACCCGCGGATCCGGCGACACACATGGTCCGACGAGACACAACCGGCGAGCGCCGCCGCCGCCGAATACGCCGCGGCCCTGCACAACCACGAGCAGCTTCGCCGCATCGTCGACAAGTCGATTGCCTCGGCCAACAAGCACCGGTCCGAAGCCGGTTGGAACAACCTCGTCCACACGCCCCTCCTCGAGCACGCCACCCTGCACATGCCTCATCTCGAGGTCGAGCCCATTACTTCGGCGCAAATCATGCCCGCCTTTCGCCCGCTGCTGGCCTCGGGCGAGCAGGTTCCGCTGCCGTCATCAGAAACCAGCGCCGCTGGCAGCAGCGTATCGGGGCGCAGCGGACTTGCCACGCCAATACGCCGTGGCGCTGCCATGACAACGTCGGTCCATAAGATGGTCGACTACGCACTGGTACTCCGCCCCTCGGACGCCCTGCAGGCGCTGATTGACCGCTTCCTCGGAAGCGAGCCTTGGGAGAGGCAGTCGATCAACCAGACGCGCTATGAGCCGCTGCGCGCGCAGCCTGCGCCCGTCTTCATCGAGACTAAAACCACGTCAGCCACACAGGACAGCGCCAATGTGCAGCTGGGTATCTGGGTCGCGGCCTGGCACGAGCGCATACGCACCGTGGCGTCGAAGGCCGGAATCGAGGAGAGGCTGTTGACGCTGCCGGTGATTCAGGTTATCGGCGGCGTGTGGTCGGTGCTCTATGTAGTGGACGACGGTACGCATATTGTAAGTTTTTCCTTCACTTCGCTCCGCTCGAGCGTGGCCGTAGAATGTGCGACTACGCTTCGCTCTTCGCTCCCTCTTTCCACACCCGACTTGTCATGTGTGGAGTGTGCAAACTGACTAATCTACTCTTAGCGCGTGCTTGATGATGACTGCCGCATCGGCAACACAAACAACATTTTGGGCATTTACCAGCTGCAGGCATCTATCGCGGCGCTGGGGCGCTGGGTTGAAGAGACGTTCACGCCGTGGGTCACGGATCTGCTGACGCGCGCCGTGGAGAACTGGGCGTGAGTTATACGGTTGCTGTACAGTTGGGCAGGTTGGACAATAGCTCGACAGCCAGCACGTTAGCCGCTTTTCAGCTGTAAATATTATAATGATACTCCTTAGCATGCGTGTACATTCGGTCTCGACTTTGAAATGCTAGAGTCGAGCTTACTATATTTTTCCTAATTTGATACTGTATTATTCAGTCTACAGGTGCACTGTCATTCTTGATTGGGTGCAGATAACAGACTCGTCACGAATAGATGGACTAAGCTGCCAGTGTGTCCTTGGACGATGATGCTAGAGTATAAATCAATTCACGAGTTGCCATCATTCTCCCACAACAAGTTGCGCCATTGGGCACACTGCCCTCGAGCATTCTGGAGAGAGGCTTTTGAGCCATGTTCGCCCGGAAGTTTTGTAATCATAATGGAACAAAGCCGGATGCTTCCTCGTCGCGCCAGAATTTATGCAGTTGTGGCCAATGAGTGATTCCGCAACAGTGAATCTCGCCGCACTGGTGGACGATGAGACGATACACTTGGTAACAAAAGTAAAGGACGCTCACCAGGCCGTCGGTTCGTATGATGCGCACGGCGTAGTAAACGCCAATCCTTTGGGGCTCCGCCGGCTGCGCCAGACGAACCTTTGACGTCGAAGTTCTCCAAACATTTCTATCATCTATTCAATAAGCAAACAAGATGCTCTGTCGGTTCCTCATATGAGAATTTGTTCATGTCGGGTCGTGGTCTGCTACATCGCCTGGCGCAGACTCTACGGCGCAACATTTCGGGCTCAGATTGTTCACGCTAAGGTCGTCTGTGCATTGCAGTTTGGGGCTGCATCGGACACTGGGCATAGTACGTCACGTCTGGAAACCTGCTTATACCGTAAAAACCGTTGTGGGTGTCGCTAGTGCTTTTAGTTAAATTTAGTTACTTGGCGGGGTAAATCAGAACCGCTATTTCTGGCTCTCTCGGCAGAAGCAAAAATACACCCCACTAAAATTATTATGTTAGAAGCCCGCGACACCCATAACGGTTTGGGTTGGTACATAGCACAGCCTTGACCTAACTATGGTCTGCCGCATTTAATGACGGCGCTGTGATTGGGGCGGTTGAGGAAGGCTGTTTCTGGCGTGATGGATGAAAAGACACAAAAACGAGCAGAGCGGTGCAGCTTCCAGTGACGTCGTTTGTGTCGGTTAATAATGCTACAGTGGAAGTACCCGTAAGGTACTCAGCAGTTACAGCGGCGGAAAATAGCGTTTTGCCTTTATCACCTTATTCTTAAAACTCACTAAATGCACCCGCGACACCCATTTCGGCCTTTGCGATGTATTTACATAAAGCTTTTCGAAATGGTAGAAAGCACTCATTTTGTATGCCCATATTTGGCTTTTCAGCGTCAAGGCTAATCTTGAAAGAGAGTAGTGGACCCTCTGGAGGAGAACAATTTTTGGCCAATGGGAATGGGCGATCGGCGGCGATACACGGCCCAGCTATTAAATAGCGGCCCAAAGAAGAGGCCCGAATTGGCGCAGATACAGGAATGGTGTGCACTTCCAAGAGGAACAAATCAGACCGCCCGTAGCCCCAACTGCATCCAGACAAAAAGCCCTTTTTGACGACAGTGGCCAGAAGTCACGCAGCTCAAAGCTGCCAAGGTAGAATATGGCCCCTCGTCTGAACCTGCGACGCGTATGGTGACCTGGGGGCGACTCCACCAGCCAATCTACCCTGCAGCTATCCACAGGACGCCGCTAGCACAGGCGGCGAAATACACCTCCTTGACCCTGGACAACATGCATGATGGATGTTGGGATGGCATTGAAGATATCACTATTGCAGTAGATTCCGGCCAGACAGAAGCAAACGAACGTCGCGCATTGGAATGAGCAAGAAGAACAGTGACAGCCGTTCTAGGCTGTGAAGCGTGCAAGCCACCTACCCGGCGAAAACCCGCGCAACACGCAAAAAAGAGCCTCACTCGGCGCCGTCGCCCACTTCACAGGATGCCCACCAGTCGCATTGCGCCGGTTTCGACTGTCACCCTTTCTACACTTGTTCTCTACGGGGTAGTCCAAGTTTGGCGTCCACGAACTGATTACAGCCAATTTTGGTCAATGGCCTAATTATGCTAAGACAGGCTCCCCGCGCCAGCCCCACCCGTACAGCGATATTAGGGGACACGGAACCTGAACTGGGGTGACACTTGACATCGCAGTCACCAATCATGCACCAAGACGGATGTCGAAAACCTAAAGATAGCTATTCTATCGCGTGTTGACGGTCTATTTTGGCCACCACGACCCTTCGTCTCACAGTGCTAATCTTGTGACCCGCTACCCGACCACTTCCAGTTCTGGTGAGCCTACGATGCGTAGCAGCCGCCGTCCCGCATGCTCGGGACACCAGCTACGTGGCCCTCATCCGCAGAATGGGCTTCTCTTCTTGCGGGGGAAGCAAGCTACGATCGCGGTACGAGAAATACGCGTCCACGGCCAGTCCAAGGATAGAAAAGCCGAAAGTGACGACTACCCCAACCCATGCAACCCCAGTCTTCAACTGGCCACCGAGGGCTTGTTGCAGCTGTCGGCCGATTTCATGCGTGCCCATCGCGAACGCGAAACCCACCACAACAAACGAGAGTCCGATCCTCCGGCAAAAGGCGCCGACCCCGCTCACAAAGCGGGGTGGACTGGCCATGACCGCCACAGCAACGCAAAGCGCTAGCGAGAGCAGCAAGAAAAAAATGATGGCGCCGGCGATGCAGACAAAGACGCTGAATGCGATACACATCTCGTCACGGCCGGCCATGCTGCCGCAAATGTGAGATGTGCCTATGCGCACCGATGTGAACAGCGGCTTGGCCACATCCGACCCCGCCGACTGGAGGAGATCTCCCAAGCCTCGTCTCGTGTCATGCGATGCCCGTGCCGTCCAGTAGAAGAAGCCTTCCTTGTCAGCATTATTGCTCATTACGATGACGAAGGTCGTCACGATGACGATGACGCACGGCAACTGCTTCGCGAGGCTAATTAGTAGATGTGTAGTCATGTTGATCTGTTCCTTTCCGTGTGGCCATCCTGGGGCGCCGCTCTGGCGCCGCGCGCGGTAGCCGTGCTATAAATAATTCTCGTGCCGAGCCGTTTGTCGCTGCCCTCCCGCTCGCCCGCGGGCCCGCGGGAGAGCCCTCCGCTCTAAGTGGTGCACTGCACATACAGCGCAGCCGGTGGCGAGGATGGCTCGAAATGCTTCGGCCATTCAGCGGATCCTGTACGTACAACCCGGCGCTGTCTGTCGGGCGAACCTTGGCGACTGGGTGCGGTGAAACACGGCCAGACCCAGCAACGCGAAACAACGGACAATATAGACCGTGGCCAGAGCGGATGCAATTCGCATCGCTGCCTTGGGCGCCAGATTCCGGCTCGTCGCCCGACGAGGCCACGGCCGGAAAAGCATTTTAGTCGACCGACCCTCTGCTGCTACTGCGGCGAGGGATCTGTGCTATGCACGACGCGGCGACAGCATCGCAGATGGACTACTTCAAGACAGTCGTGGACCTGACCGGGATCGAACAGCTCTGCTTCAACTGCCGAGCGCTTCTTGACGACGGGCCGAAACACCGCATCCATGGACATGTAAGTACGAAAGACCAAGCAGGCCGAGATTCTGACAGAGACAGCTCCTTTGCAACGAATGCGCCGACATCGTGTCGTTGCTCCGAGTTCACAACTGGCGCGTGTGCCTCGTCTGCGCCTTGGCGGGCGAGGCCGACGACATCGACTGCGCGGACATCCAGAATTTCCTGGACAGACCGGTGAGCCAGGACTCCTTTGCCGGGAAGCAACGCGCCCGAGTCTGACTGCGCCAGAACATGTTCGTGAAGCAGTATGACTGGAAACACTGCCCTGTGTGCGACAGTTCGGACAATCTTCTGTATACGCCATGCGGTAGGCAGCCCTGAATGCGCAACCGGTTCCAGGCCGCTGACGATGCAGGTCACGTCCTTTGCAGCGTTTGCTGGGGCAGGTGGAAAGCAGAAAGGCACAGGCAGAAGGTGGCGTGCCCAACGTGCCGACTTCCCATCACCCTAGCGTTGGTCACGGCGCAGTCGACATTTCTTGTGCGGGAGTATGTTGAGGTCGCCTCCAGGAGCGGCCAAGGATACATAGTTTGAGCTGTACGTAGAACACTTGTGTCAGCCAGCCAACGATTCTTTTGCCAAAACCCGCTCATCCAAGTCGCCGATATTGTAGAGGTAGTGCAGACAGGGCGAGAAGCCAAACTTGCAGCTTGTAGACATGAGCGGCTAGAATAATCCAGCAAACGTCTGCGTGGTCGGAAATGGCTGCTGTCGACTATGCCGCCGTCGCGCCTCGACTGACCTGTCGCTAGAAAATGCTTCGTCGATCCAATAGACGAGCACTAGAAATTGAAGCGAAAGCTCGGTTCCACCGGTCAAGACTCCCAAGTCGCTCGTGCAGGCCTCGCATCCAGAATGTCGCCCCGCCGTGCTGATATACACACCGGCAGCACTGGCAATGCGCCTCGCGCTATACAATCTACTCCAGGTACGTTTCTCTCCTGGAAAGCAGTCGGCAAGCAGCGCGGGCGAGCTGCATACGCGTCGAACCACAGCCTCTTCTTGCGGCTCGTGCATGACCAGCTGGCCATCTACCGGGAGCAGCGCAACGATGCAGCGATCGAGGAGCTCCATTCCACCGTCGTCGGTAAGTTTCGCCGCATATTCGAGCACGGGAACTGGAATACAGTCACGGCAATGCATGAGCACGGGCAGATGCTGTGCGACGAGAAGCGCTACGAGCAGGCCGAGGCGCTGTACAGGACACTTGTCGACGAGGTGGACTAGGATCGCGGGCCCGATTCGGTGCCGGTGCTCTGCATCCTCAACACGCTAGGCGCCGTCTACGCGAAGCGCCAGAAGATGAAGCAGGCTGCGGCCATCCTAGTTCGCGCCATGGTCGGCTTCCAAAGACAAAGCGGAGAGAGGGACGTGAGGGCCTTCAACCTCGGCGGCGTGCACCAGGATCGCGGAAAGCTCTCCCACACAATACGCACGTACCATGGGGCTGCCCATGGCTTCCGCGAGATCATGGCCTTCTATAAGACGACGATCACGGCCTTCACGCAGCTCGCGGCTCTCTGCTCTGCTCGCCGCGCCTTCCCGGAAGCGGAGAAGGCGTACACCCTCGCGCTGCAGGGGCTGGGAGAGGCAGCAAGACAGGACTCCATTGACGCTCTCATCCTGAAACTCGACCTAGGAATCTCGTATAGAGACGTGAAAAGACTGGAGTTCGCCGAGAAGCTCATTGAGGAGGTCAGCCAAGGTCTCAAGGGCGCTCGCTCCGGCTGCGCGCCGGCGCGCTCACATGCTTGGGAACGGTGTACGCGCGCCAGGGCCGGGCCGAAGAAGCAGAAGCGAGCTTCGCTGACGCCGCGAAGGAGTCTGCCGTGTGCGACGAAGAATACTCTGCCATGTCGTACGCAGCCTCTTTCGGCCTCGGCAATCTTCTCCGCAGCCAGCGGCGGCTGGCGGAGGCCGAAGCCATGTACCGGCAGGCGTGGATGGCGCGCGGTCGGTCGGAGGGCCGAGTCACGCCACATCCTGTACCATCGCCGACGCGCTAGGCGCTGTGTGCGAGGAACAAGGCAAGCACGAGGAGGCTGAACAGGTTTACAAGCAGAGCCTCGCGTCAGGCGAGTTTCGTCTCGATCGGTGGACGATTTTTTTTTCAGGTGTTAATTTCCACAAGATGGCAGGGTACGCTGAGGTTTATAGTCTCTTTATCTAGAGCATATTACTATACATTACATGCCAGGTATTGGTGCTCTCTGTATTGCTGATCAATACGCTGACAGTGCGAATCGCCACTTTGAATATCCAATCGAAACAGCCGCCGCTTTGAGACTGCGTCCAGACTCAAGAATGCTTTTGACTAATGAACCTGGCGTGCAGCTTGGCGTGCAGCTTGGCGTGGTCGCTTCGTCGTGGTACGGTATACTGACGACCAAGCCGTCCTGCGCGGCGTCGTAGGCGAAGGATCAGACTCATCAGCTCGCGCCTCCCAGCGCTTCGGTGATATGATCAAGACTGCCCCGAAGGCATCCACAGGCATCAGCTTTCATCGCGTTTACAGGCAACAAAGCCACCGGTGGACTGGTGAAAGCCGTTCATGTCATTAAACGACTCTTGGAATGCTCACCGAGCCAATCTTCAGGCGCATGGCAAGGACGAACCCGAAAAAAGGGCACGGGGAACTTGGCGGCAAGTCAGCGCCCGTGAACAGTACCAAAGCGTGGACTTCAACGAGTCCTTCGTAAGGCTCTCGCGAAACTTATTCGATTGATAGCCGGTCTGCCCCGCGGCGCTTCGAAATTCTCGCAGGTCAGAGCGAAATTGTTCCGCGGATGCGAGGGTACCAGGAAGTTGAGACCTTATTCTTCTCTGCCGAAACCCTTCCGACTCGTCAGCTTCACCAAGACTTCTCTCAGTTTCCATCAAAAACTTCAAGCTTTCGGACTCGTGCAGCAGAACTTGCGTGGCGCGCGGCTGTGTGCAGCAAGTACGAGTCAGTGAGGCGCGGGGCTCTCAGATACAGATGCTTCGGAATCGTGAAGAAGATGTAGCTGAAATGCCGTAGCAAACTCTGGATGCCTTGCGTCGGTGAGGACTAATGACGCAGAACCGTCTTACTGAGATATCCTTGAGAAACACATCGCGGCATGCCAGTTCCTCGGCCAATGTGTCTGAGGCTTCAACAAACTGATCGGGTGTTCGCGAAATGCAAAGAAAAGCTCTGGAAATCGATGTATCAACAATCGCAGCCGTGCTTTTTGGTACAGTTTCTGTTGCAATCGGGGTCATCGGCATCTGTCTCGCCTATACACAGCTTCGAGTTGCTTTTCTTCAGATCCCACGGCTTAGCATGGTAAGATCACCCCGGACTGGTGGTTCGCTCACGGATTCGACTGACGATGGTTCTATAGACTGTGCACCCCTAAGCCGAGAGTAACTGTCAGGGTGAAGGCAGCAAAGCCATGAGCTGGCGGCCACGGTCAATTGAGGGAGGCTTTTCACTAACTGTTCGCATGAGCACAGTTGTTACACACCAGTCAATGCCTCATCCGACATGCGCTCTGCCAGCTGCTGTCGATGTAACGGTACACGATCCTCGCTGCTTGTCCCTCCCACCAGCGCGCTCCGCCTGGATCTGAAATGTACGGACCTGCGCAGCCGATGGCTTCTTTGGACTTGGTGAGGTTTTGAACACAGTTCGCGCACTCTCTGTGTTTTATTCGAGCAGGGCCAAAGGTATTCAGTTGGTGTTGACTATATACGGCTGCATTCGCTCTCTACGTGCTTGTTCTGCGCTAGCCCCAGCCAGAGGGCGCAATCCCTGTTTCACCTCATCGTTGAGTTCTTTAATTACCATATCCGCCGATGTTGCCATATAATTTCCTAGTTGCACGAATTTGAAGAAGGTCGCAGCGAATCGGCTTCTAGTTTGCGCTTGCGCTCCAGCTTGGCGCGCTCCAGCTTGGCGTAATGCAGGCCACAGGCGTTGCACAAGGTGCCGGCGCCGTCCGGACCGCGCCGCCATTCAGGCGTGTCGGTTCTGTTGCATCTGCGGCAGCGGCCGGGAGGGGCACCACGCTGTAGAGCTGTTAGTTACGCCACTGGTGCTGAGTCGTATTGAATTGACTTACGCCACGACGCTTCTTACCATCCTTGACGGGATTGTGAGGCTTCATGGTGTCTTTGTACTGTTTGTCGGCCGCAAAAACAGGTTCGGAGTCGGCCTGCGGATATAGAGCATTGCAGTGTTGCCTAGGCGGGAAGAGGCTATTTGGCAGAAGCATCTGACCTGGAGGTAGACGACTGAGGTGGACCGAGATCGGATTCGGGATAGGAGAGTAGCCGTCCGAGATGGAAGAATGGTAGTGGACAGGGCTTTGGGCACATCGCTCTAGCTTCCCGGTTACCGCAGCTGTGCGATATGTGATGGGATACTGATCGGGGTGGCCGCCGTCAGATGTAGGCTCGGTGGGCATGCTACTGCAAGGAGAGAAGAGTGGTAGCACAAACGCATCAGACGTAATTTCTGCGACGGAAGGCAAAGCGGAATTTTCGGATGGATCGAGACGGTGCACAGCCGTCATGGCGGCTTGGAGAGATGCGCAGCGATGTTGCGAGTGTTTGGCATGAGAGTAGCTTCTAGGCGAGGCGATGAGATGCCATATCTGGAGAAAACTCGCGTCCGAACGGTCGACGCAATACCTGTGCTATAAAGACTGGCCTCAATACTTACTCAGCCGTCCCGCTCGAAGCCCCAGTGGAGATGCTGTGCAGCCAAGGAGTAAACAACAGCAATCGGGGGCATTGTTCCGCGCGCATTGATACGTTGTCCCCGTCCGATCAAATTGGATGTTCGTCACGGGTCCGCAGAGGAGATCAGCGTCCTTTGGCGTGAGATGAACCTCTTCCTACAGAAGTACCTGTGGGTAGACAAGGGGGAAGATTCCAGTCCGCCATCAGCAGAGTGGGCTAGCTGCGCGGCAGCATCCCGGCCACGCCGTACAGCACACAAGTTCAGATGTCACGAAAGATGTGTGTGTGGGATAGGTGGCGGCCTGTGAGTGCCAGGATCAGCGGAGTAGGTTCTGCGTCCGTACATGCCAGCCTTGTCGCGCCGGTGCTGTGCGTCACAGGTCTTGCAATAGTCAATGTCTTGTGGAACTAAATTGAGAGGGCGCACTTGGTACTGACCCGCTTCCACTGTTTGAGGAAGGCGGCAAGAGATCCCGACGTAGATACGAGTCGATGCCTGTCTGATAGCGTTTTGTGCCCGTGCAAGCTACGCTACTGGTTTGCCAGAACTCCCATATGTCGACTTCTCAGCTGCCGGCGTACGAGAGCCTGCAGTATTGAGCACTCTTGGACGCACTGCCGCTTATTGAATGTCTGTGTTTGTCTATACATAACCGGGGATCCCGGGTCAGCCTGCCATCACAGCGGTAAAAATCGCACCCCTTGCCTTGCACCAATCCAGCGGGCTACTACCATGCTGCAATGGTCGTGGGTGGGCTCGGATTGGTGCCACTCTCTCTCACGGGGTCACCAAGGCCACTAATTGTGAGCAAAAGCCGTGGTGGCTGGTCCATCACACGCCACGCAACCACTGGCTGGGACGGCTTGCCTCGGCCTCGGAAGGGTATGTCCTCCAGAGTCATTGCCAACAAGGATGCCACTGGCGGTAGCAGCCAAGGTCGGATGTGCTGCGCGTTCTAGCAGTTCTACCCGGACCCAAACATGACCAGTACTACTGTGGACCTAGCCCGATATCGTCACCGATATGATCTGTTGACTGGCTTGCGCACTATCTTCTGTCCAGATTGTCGTCTTGGCTTCAAAATGCTGACCAAGAGGTGTTCGTTCTGGATAGTTTCACAAGTCGGGTTTATTTAACGCCGAACATTTACATAACCACGGCTTAGTAGTTTCTTTCTACAGGAAAATCCGTAAAATACTGGTTTCCTTCTTTCTCTGACTTATCATTATACATTGCTAAGTAGTATACGAACGCCATTATCCTTCTTTCATAGATCAGAGCTCTGTCACATCGTGCCGTGTTCACTGCTCCTCATGTCAGGCAGAGGACTTCGTTCTCTTTTTCTTGAACCTTGGACACCATAAGCTCCCACCAGGGTTGCCTCATAGCAATGGCGCAGGGCAGTTCCGTGTTTGGCGCGGGCACTGGGACTTCATGGTCCATCCAGCTCTGAATACGTCCCAAAGCTTGATAAAGTGGCGGCACGCTCTGTCGCAGGAAGTTAATTAGTAACTAGCTTAGACGGAGGAGCATTTTTCTCTCATGAATGTTTAACTTACACTGCGAACAGGGGTTACAATAACGTGCCGAAACCAGGCATCCGCGACTAGAAAATGTTCTTCTGCAGTGGCTAGTAGCCCGAGGAAGAAGACCGGTAGCAGCGGGGCTTGAGCCGTAAATATAGAGCCTGAGGTTGGCATAATAGAAATGCACTTGGCCAAGTCGGCTATGTTGTTAACGACCATCTGATGGTTTCGCGGAAGTCTCAGCAAAGGTCAGCATGTTTTGATGCAAGAGACAGAGGCGCAAGAGTAGGTACGGGCACTTACCTGAATAGGCGGCACTGCAGGTAGACCATTCCAGCTAGTCTCCACGCTTCCGCCGTCACCACAGTCATCTGTTTCGCTTCTTGGACAACGTCGTTCTCGCCCGCCTGGCGAATCCATTCAATCGGTTGCGATCTACTTTCAGCAGCATCCCAGCTATCATATTCTCCACTCCATTGACGCAACTGCAGAAGCTGGCTGTAGAGCCTATCGGCAGTTACAGGCACAATAGGTGTTTCGCATTCTTGTAGTATGCGAGTGAAACAGTAGGTCACCTGACTGAAGATGTGCAGCAGGCGTTTCGAGAAACCGCATCCACCGTGGATTTCATATATGTCCGATTTAGATCCATATAAGAGGAATCCAAATCTAGATGTTTCGGCATCGGGGTCGAAAGTAGTGAGAGGTTGGAGGGGCATCATTAGCTGAGCTAAAATGACAGCTCTACCAACGATGACTGATTGCGATAGGCGCAGGGCAGAGACCTGAACATTCGACTCTTTGTAAAAACGAGAGCCTGGATCCGTGCGCTGAAGAACGTTCTCCGCCTGTTTGAATCCCGTCAACCAGCGAGGCCAGTAGGGTTTTTGGAGCCTGCGTTCCGTGAGAACCACATCCTGCATGGAAAGCAATGACGCCAAGGTGACTAGCTCGCCAGACTCGCTTTCGTCTAGATTGTCTGCATCCTGGAGCAGCTCGCTGAGCCGGGCTTCGGCGATGGCTAACCTTTTGTTGACTTGACGCCGTACATTATCACATGGCAGATAATCATGAACATAAATTCCAGCGAGGGACTGTATAGCGGCTACAACAGCGGGACGTTGCATGCTGGCGAAATCAGTCAACCACAGGTTGGTTTTTGTCAACACACTTCGCCCAGGACACCAATTACGTGTGTCTGTAGCGCAGAAGTTAGCGCAGATTTCCCGTGAGATATGGCAAAAGGAGAACTTACAAAAACTGAACAGCTTTCTGCCCATGTTGTCCATGACCACATCATGTCCGAATTGTGACGGGAGGAGTTGCGGAGCCTTAGTAATATCATTCTGACAATATGATCGGAAGCTTGCTATCGGTGATTGAAGATACACGCCGATTTGTGACGGCGGCAAGGTTGATGATTTTAGATAGGGTGAGTCGTTTCCTGCCAAGAGAGTGCTGGTGGAGGCCGGTGATGAAAAGAATCGACGCTGCAGCGATCGCTCAAAACTTTGGCTCGATGCCTGTGTAGCAGCGACGGCTGAAGGTGAATCACCGTTA